AATACAAATGAATTCAAAAGAATGGTTCACCCATCGTACCAACAAGGATTTTAAAATCAAATTTATATTCAAAACTGATTTTGTCAATACCAAAAATGTTCACCAAATACGACGATACCAATTACCAAAGATCGATACCAACTTTCCACTCATTTAGTCAACCACTCACTTGCACCGCTATAGCGAGGAACGTCAAATGATCCACGTAGTGGTTGCGATTAGAGAAAATAAGCGTGCTAACTATTTGTTTAGGTGTAACAAGAAAACTGATAAAAACTTATTCCTAAAATCCCTCAAGTATGGCAAGCAATTTAAACGTAGAAAATGTCTTTTGATCATCAGTTGCTTAACACATAAAGAATTTACGTAATGACAAATGCTTTGAGTCTTGTGTTGACAGCTATGAAAGTGACTTCCATCGGCAAATGACGCTTGGAGGATGGCACGCTTATATATTATGCGCGCATATCAGGATTGGACTTTCCCAGAGGTCGGTTCAAGAGTCACCGTGTGAAGGGAGAAAGCTTGGCCTCAGAACTGTCTCTTGTCCAACTACTGCGCCGAAGACATTACTCGTTCGTCACCAAATACGACGATACCAAATATCGATACCAAGAGATTGCTGGCATGTAGTGTTGGAAATTGGTTAACTGGAATATTTTCGATGATTTTTATTTTCCGATGACTCATAATCGGACTCAGGGTGCCACGGAGGGGTTTCTTTATTCTTTACCCAGAGCGATAATTATCATCCCTATCGGAACGTCTTCACGAAATCGAATTTCAATCAGGAAAATTGCGATCGTCATAAATCTTTTATATCTCGTTTCGACAAACCCAAAAAGGATGCATTAGACTTTAGATTGGCAGATCGTTCTAAAAAACATAGTACGCCCTACCACCTCACGGTTAATCTCGTTGAACCCCATAACATTAATTTAACAACCAACACGGCTGTAACAGCATCTTGTTGCTGCTCAATTTCCATCGTAAAATGGCATCCAAACAAACGTTAGGGGTTCCTTACGGTGGTTATAAGGTCGATGAATCTAAAGATCTCTAGATGCTCTCGGGAACATCAAGTACACACGAAAAGAACTGCTTCTTCGTGGTAGATAAAATTTACAGCGTCATAGCTACAACGTACATGTAATTTACACTAATTGTCGCTCGCTAGCCACGCATTTAACCACACTTCTGTACCATCCACCAGATTTCTTCCATACAGTGTTGCACAAATGCACTTTACAGTAATAGATGCTAGCCTCGCAGAACCACACTTGGGTGGTCACTGATGATGGTTACCGTCCGCGGTCATGGATTCTACTCCTCGGGTAATTAAACTGCGTCGGTACCGGTGACGTAATTACCGGAAACGAGCCAAGCGCCGGATACGGAACTAATTTCTGGTCAACTAAAATAAGTTCTTGTTATGTTATTGTATAGGCTACTTGGTCTTCAGCTGGATTTGTTTACGGTGTAAGATGCATTTGTGTCGTAGTGTGTTGTCCGATCTAAGTGTCAGAACATAGAATATTTGAATATTGCATGTGGTGTGCATATAACGGTGCTGTTGCTCATCCAACTTCGATAGATTTTATAATTAACTCACTTAGACAAACCAGAGTGGGTAGGGCGTGAATTTTAGTTGCAACTGACACTGAAGACAAAATAGTACTTTTATGTGTTAATGTCTGAGACGCCGAATGGTCGTAGAGCTCGCCTTAAAATCTTCTGAAGGTTGCTGGTTCGTACTCGAACAGGATGGATGTCAATTCTTGACCCAAACGACATTGATCATTGGGTATCAGTATTAACGATGCCACCTAACAAAACGTTGAACTAAAGTGATTCAACTAAGGGCTTCGCATTCCCAGCGTTTCATTTATTTCTATCATTCGCTTTTAACAGATTCAGTGATAATGTAAATTAATTGCTAAGAGAGTTGGACAGCGTCACTGAATCTGTTAAAGCGAAGGATAGAAATATAATAGGAATGATCCTGTAGGACCTAGTTAAATCTTCAACCACAGTCAGATTATTAACAAGAGTCGAAATAGACAAGTTTAATAAAAGAACATAGATTTTAAGTAGACTACTCTCATTGATAGTTGTAAACTAATTGAGGTAGGTACATCACTCTCTATGGTATGAATCTACAATTAATTGAAGAGATTCATTTTTTTATAAATGTGCAGGTTATTTATTCACCTAAAAAAATAATCTTTGAAAGGTAAAATAATATTGCAATATTTGATATCGAGTTTCGACCCCTATTAAACTATAAAGATGTACAATGTGTGCAAGGGTCCCCTCGTAAATAAATGTTTATAACGCTATCATCACATCGAAGTTTTTGTTTTACTTTCGGTACCACGCCGCTACGCAGTCGTCTTCATCACAACAGTGGTTGACAGACGGAACGCCGGGCCAGAAACAGGTGTGAGATAATGGCGGTTAGATACCGGAACGTCGGATATGGAGCGTAAACTCGTCCTACAACCACACAACCTACATATTGTTTACATACACCGAGACAACTTGTACTGTGACAAGTTGTAGATGTGATCGGGTTGTAAAATCAGGATGTATTTGCGTAGGTTACATCCGGTAATGTTGGAGTGCGCTGATGTACCTAGCTTTCAGTTTTTCTATTATTTTAGGGTAAATTTAAGATTATAATACCAGAGGTGAAGGGGTGGTGTATGAATGGGTGGTAGTATTTGGTCAGGGACGTGGTTTTAAAATGGTTGGATGAAACAAAATAATTATTAAACATCAAAACATAAACATGCATACACAGCCAGAAACAAACCATTAAATTAGTTTTGGATGTTAAATACAGATTGGGAATGTTTTGAATGTATGAGCATTAAAAAAGTTAATGAATACTATATTATGGTTGAATACAATAAAAATGATTGTTTGTGAGATACAGCAAGTAAATAGAACATACAATGCTGGTTTTGCACACAGCGATTGTGCAGCTTGGGGATTTATGAATGGTTTTACATAAAATAAAGGAGTCACATTTCCTTTCAAATGTATCGCAAAAAACATACAGCTACATGACACTGGACTAATGAATTATGTAATTTAGTCTGATAGCTCATACAGTTTACCTGCAATCAAGTATAGTGCAACATTATACCGCTGTCTAGCGTATACATGTAATTTAATCGATTCACTCAGGTTGGCTGAAATTCCCACGATAAAATCAAAATCTTCTCAAACGTTTTGTATTTTCCAACTATGAATTTTTTTACAACCGCCCTTTGGTGGTTTGAAAAGCAACTGAAATTTTCAAACTGAAGACACTGAAGTCCAGGACAAAAACTTTACTACAATCCCGTTACATTGGGGCATCGGTCATGGACTCGTTAAAAATTGGTTTTATAGGACAAAATTATCTTGTAATTTTACAACCCCCTTCATTACGCCATGTATCCGCCCCGACCATCCAAATCCGAGAACTACCGTGTCCGTGAGTCACAAGTTGGAGGTTCTCAACCTCTTGTACTTTCTCCCTGCGTCAGTATCCTGGATCTGCGTACAGGATTTATTTTGAATCCGGCACAGGTCCGCACTTTCACTTCGGCGAAGGAATCGCACAAATTTGCAAATCAACATTGTAGCATCATTACAGAAGAGGTGGATTTTCCAAGAAAATAAAATGAAAAACCCATTATAAGTTAGGTTAACTTGGAGTTTTGTTGATTTAATTATTTAATCTTTTTGTGTTTTGTTGCTCTAGAATGGCTTGCTGAGTTTTTAATAATTTGACCAATTATGAGCCTGAAGGGCGGATCATGAATTCATTAAATACATTGAAAACTAAATTAGTTCAGATCCTACCAAATTACAGGCCATTCCTAAATATTCCGTTTTCGTTTTACAATGAGTGCCAAAGACAAAGTAGCAATTATATACAGTGATAGATTATCGCAAGCTTCTGTAAATAAATAGGAAATATTTATTCCAAACACAAAACTTAACTTGTGTGTAACACAGACAAACATCCATAAACCGCATAACTAGACAATTCCTAGGACGCTACATTCTAGCATAGACAAGACACTTAGCAAACACTGGCACAGAAAACTGTAATCCTAGTGTAAACACTCATACTAATTGGCTTCAGAGATCATTTATGTAAATTCAGGGATTCTAGGAGGTATAAAAGTTATGAAATCTAAAGAAAGTCGACAAGATTACAAAAACAATGTGTGTTGTATAAAGAAAAAGTGAAACTTAATGCTTAACGCGATAATATCAATGTCTATAACAACTAACCGGCTATTTGATTTGAAGGAAACAGATTCAGTAATTAAACAAAATAATTTTAAAACGTATAATAATAAAATCAATTGAATATCATAATTAACTAATCAGCATTATAAAATATCCAACAATAATGGAACAGTAGCTTTAACCAAATATAACAACAGAAGCTTAAAAAAAAAACAAATTAAATTTCGTTCTAAATAGTATTGGTTATATTAATTTTGATATTATTTGTTTTATTGAGTGCTTTAAATATTTATAGCACACTCAAAAAAATCAAATGAATTATTATTATTATTATTTTTTGCAGCCTGTCGAAAGTATTTAAAACGCGCGGTAGCAACGAATCATATAAAACTAACTAGTCAATTTGTCAACCATAAAATATTTAGCATTCGAAAAACGTAAGAACATTTTTTTACATCAAACCCTGTCGGCCTTTCTGGTATCATTTTGCTGTATTCGACAGTTGCGGCAAATTTGTGATATTATTATCTTCTTTGGTTAAGTCATAAAATGAAAGTCAATAATACAACAATTGACTATCTAAGTTCTGTATCTTATTTTACTTAGTGGAGTAATTTTATCATAAAATTTTGAAGAGATTACTAACCACGATATTGAAACCACTTCTGTATTTTGCACTAATTGGTATCTCAAGTTACATTACACGTATTTAAAAATTTAATATAGGTAATCCAAAATTCTTAACATACCATGAATAAAAGGGGCACATATAATCCCAAGCAAGAAGCACAGCGTTGCTGAAAGCGGTAACATGGTGGTGCGCACACGACCGAACTGATCGCGGGTTTGCTTCGTACTGGCGGGGAAATGCGCGCTTGAGCCGTGCGCGGTGCGCCGGGAGTTTTGCCCCTTCCACCTTGCGCAGCACTACGATACCCCCTCCCTCAGCACTAAGCACTAAAGTACAGCGCCGGCGTACTGCCTACTGACACATATCCTACCTGTAGTTTGCATGCGGCGTGCCACACCGAGTTGCCCTTTTTGCGCGGCATTTTTGCGGCAAGTCATCATCATCAGGGCGCATACCTTCATGCCTCGTTTCCGTTATGTGGTTTTGATTGTTCGATTCAATGTGACCTAAAGTATGACCTGTTTAATAAGTATGTGCATGTTTCGGTACTGTACTATTATATCTTAAAACATGTTTGCTACTGGCTATTTACAGTAGGGACGTACACACTATTGGGATAAAACATTTTAATTCATTAAAAACATTTGACAACAATCGGATATTTAACCTTGGGACAGTGCAATATTCAAAATTTTGCAAACAAATTACATGTCTTAAGAATGACTGACAACATCGACTAGGTATAATTAATATGGTATCAATAAATCTACCGTTAATACTCATGGAAACTCAGTATAATTAAGTTTAGTATTGATTATATTTTACAATAAAGGCATTTTTCTAAATTGCCCCACTACAAAGGTTTATGTAGGTAGGCCAATTATATTTTATTTTGTCACATGTTTGGTTTCTAATCGATGTTATGAGACTACTTAATTGCAATATGATGATGCCGGATGCGTTGCTACGCACAATACTGTAGTTGGTTCGCATTGCAAGAATACTGGAAGTTGTTTTTGAAAATTTCAAAATTCAACTCCTGCATTACAACATAAACCCAATGTAAGATGTATTTATGGGAGATTTCGTGGTATGTTGATTCTCATTATAACCTTTTAAGCACATTTCTTATGGTTGACTATTTCGAGTTAAATTATTAATACTATACGGATTTTTAATAAATAACGCATTAATTAGACCACGACCTTCTGCAGTCAGTGTATTTATATATATTCAATACATTATTTAAATAATAATTTAAAGCTATTACTAGGATGCAGCTAACACTTTTATAGCAGTTCAATAATTCAATTACAATTTACACACACATTTCAACAAGAACTATCAATTAACCCCAAAATTTCATTTATATATTTTCTAATGTATCGTTAAAAAGTATATAGACTGTGTAGTGTACATTACAATCATCAACAAGCCTAGGAACACTTGACTCATTGATTTTGATCACTCGGACAAACTCCACCTGTAGATAAAACAGGATGTTGGCCTCCAAAGAGTAATACTCGGCCAAGGCCGCCTCACCCGACATTACTCTGTGGACAAGGATGTTGGTCCGAGCGTTGACCTGTCTTCCTGTCAAGAAGAAAGTTACTCGTCACTAAACAAGCATTGGGATCATTGGGATCTCCACCCAGTGACGAGAACGCAGCTTCAAGTAGCTCCGGGTCTTAATACTCTTCTCACTTAAAACAAATTTATATTACCATATTACTTTGTTTTAAAAAAAAAAAAAACCTTTGTATTTGGACAGAGCTGATTTCATAAATGGGCCATTTGGGCCAGGACCATGGCATAAAAGGACTGGGACCAATGACTACTAAAACCTATGATCAGAAAGCAAGTCTATATTTCCCACTAAAAATGGCAGCACTTCAGCACTTCTCGTCCACTAATTGTAGGAATCACTGTTGTATTATTCGTTGTGTGAACTAATATAACGATAGTAAATTCTCTAAAAAAAACATTATCTCTGTTTCCTCTTCTTCGTGGCGTTCTATGACTATTCTATGTTTCCATAGTTTGAGAATCGGTTCATTCAATATTGTTTCAGAAAAACAGTACTGTGTCAATATAGTTTTTTATTTGGTGATATATACTAAATTGTACGTTCTTTTTGAACGGCTGTCATAAATGGCAGCCATTCAAAGATATCTTGAATCTGCGATTTTGAATCTGAGGTATCTTTGAATATTACACTAGTAAATACTTTTAATTTGATTTGCATTTAATTTTGATGTGCTTATCATCATCCTATGCTCACATTAAGGCCGGTTTTATGCACCGTGACACTCAAGTTCTATTGAATCAAATGGGTATACTTTTATGCACCGCGACAGTCGCGACATGTGTTGCTCAGTGAGTTTTCTATCCAATGTAGAGTGTTGTTGTTGTGATTTAGGAGTGATTATTAAGTGTTGTTTAAATATAGACCCTGTAGTGTTGTACACGTTAACGACAAAACCCCCATTTATATAAACAAGAGGTAAAATTTACAGCTGGAATTGGGTTATCCCTCTTAAAAATACCATTACATAAGAAAATTATGTAATTTAAATTACAAATAAAAGGTAAAGAACTCATTTATATATCTATATATTAATTTGAAACTGTTTTTCTTTGTCATAGCTATTTTGAGAGAACGGCTGGGTGTAGAAACTCAGTAGAGGTGTCTAAAGAAAGGTCTTGGTCTGTAGATGAGCCATCAAAAGAGAAACATGGTGAATTCCCTTAGGGCTCTGCCCCAGTGGCCTTTAAATTCCCATCCCATGTTATTCTTATGGAGGAAAACGGGGTTTTTGTCACAGCTAATTTGAGAGAACGGCTGGGCGTAGAAACTTGGTAGGGGTCTCTAAAGAAAGGTCTTGGTCTGTAGATGAGCCATCAAAAGAGGAACGAGGTAAATTCCCATGGGGCTCTGCCCCAGAAGCCTTTAAAGTTGCCTCTTCAGATTTGTTTACATTACGACCATATGCATAATTCTACCCTACTTTTTAATGAAACAGCTGTTAATATTTAAATTGTGATTTATTGAATTTGTCAAAATGAAGTAGCCTACAGTATTTGTAATGGGTTTTTCTGATTTTAAATTGGATTTTCTTCTGCATCGTGTCATGTTTTGCAATATAATGTTCTACGAAATCAGTGGAAAATCCTAATATCACAGTAACTCTTGATATTCTTTGGCGTATTGCATCTGTAGACGAAACTTGGGTTGGTGAAATTATTACAGTAGAAAAAAGCGAGAAATCCTGGACAATTTGATATAGGCTAAAAATAAAACTGAATTAACAATATGCTACATTTCTTGAGCAATCATTGAAATAACCGATTTGCAAACAATGTAAACATAGAAAAAGTCATAGAACACAACCAAGTAGAAGAAAAGAAATAATGTTTTTTTTTTCATTTTTAATTGTTATTATAGACAGTTATGCGGTTATGAGAGGGAAAAATTTGTAGAAACACTAAAAAACAAGATCAGCTTTTTGAGAAAAGATAAGATATTTACAAAAGATTTTGATTATATCTAACTGTTGTGTAGATCGTGAGTTTTTCCATAATCTTCGCGAGTCGCCTGTAATATGCTTCGCAATTGCTCGAATTCGAGCAACAGGTACACTAGTTAATTATTAACATTAATCAATATAAATAATATGGAGAATTTCCCACGTGGAGTATGAAAAATACTACTGTCGCGGTGCATAAACGTACCCATTTGATCCAATAGAACTTGAACCGCGCGTGACACATTTTTTGAAGCTGCGATTCTAAAAAATGTCGCGGGTATTTAGAGATCTCCGATTCACTCACGCGACAGTTTGTCGCTGTCGCGGTGCATATGCTCCCAACGTGGGGTGCATATGCAATTGATAATTATACATTAGTTCAATAGGTGAAGGTAATTGTAAATTATCTATTGCATGCACCCCACGTTTTTCGTTTTAAATCTTACAAGTATTTATACTCTCCACATATTTATAAATTATTTTCTACTTTTTAGTGCGTTTAAAAACGTTTTGTTTGGAAAAAATTTAGATTTATAAATTATTTGCTACTTTTTAGTTTTTAATATGTGTTGATGTTAAATCTATTTCAAGCATCTACAGGGTGAATAAAAAGTCAAGACCCCCCCCGCTCTAATATGTTTCCAAGTAATATACAGAGATATCCTTTTGGTGGTCGAGCAATCTTAGCAGGAAGTTTCATTTTATTATTTTGAAATTTTTGAGTGTCCCCTCAAAAGGAGGGATTTGGGGGGCAACTCAAATATTTTAAATGTAAACCCCCTTCAAGTGACACCTCATTTTGAAGTGTTTTAAAAACTTTAAAAATGGTGACAACCATAGCTCGCTATCTCTTCTCTATCCAAAATGGCAGCCAATATTAACAATTTTACCATTGATTTTCCACAACATTTGACGGGCTACCATTTTAGATAGAGAATAGATAGCGACCTCTAGTTTTCACCATTCTTTAAGTTTTTGTAAACACGACCTATTAAGTAACAAAATCGGACAGGTTGAAGTCTAGATTTAGTTGTACAAAATTTAACAAAAATATACCATCTAATTCAGTATTTTCTCGACACTATAAATTTGGAGGTCAATTAGCTTATTGCCAATAACTGTTAAATGGAGAGGAAATCGACCAAAGTGGATGTAGGCTAATATTCTGAAAGAGAACAAAATTTACTACAAATCAAATAACTACTATGCATTTCTTGAAAATACTTAATAAAGACAGCCAAAAGAACTACAAATAGAAACTTGAAACAGAAACTTGAAATAAGCAGTTTTTAATGTAGTTTTGTTATTTGTACTTTTTCATCACAAATATTTAATAAAATCACACTTTCATAATTATTTGCAAATCTACATGAATTAGGCTTTGCAATGACCCAGTAATTAACAAAATCGGTCCAGTATAAGTCTACATTTAGTTGTACATAGTTTAACAAAAATATCCCTAACTCAGTATTTTCTCTTTTCTATAAATTCGGAGGTTGCTTAGCTTTTTTGCAAATAAATTTTAAATTGTGAGAAAATCGACCAAAGTGGAAGGTGATATTCTGAAGGAGAATAGAATTTCCTACAAATTGATACCATGGACTTCTTGGAAATACCCAAAAAAGGCAGCCAAAAGTCGCACCCAAATAAAAAGTGTGAAAAACACCGATTTCAATGTATTTCTCATGGAAAACATGTTTTTTTATAATTTTTCATTAGCCTATAAATCATAATAAAAACAAACTTTCATAATTATTTGCAAATCTACACGAATTAAGCTCTCCAACGACGCATTAATTAATAAAATCGGTCTAGTAGAACTCTAGATTTAGTTGTACAAAGATTTTTAAAACTGAATTATATAATAGATGCTTGTTTGTATAAAGAATCTCTTGGGAGCATAACCTGTACCTCTTAACCTCGGGTCTGTCTTAAAGGAGGTACACAAGAGGCAACGATGACATCATAGTTTAGTTCAAAATTCCTCAGGTAACAGCGTTGCAGTAGAGAGCACAGCGCGTAATTGTTACTTCACTATTAGGCCTAGTTAATTATTAAAAATTAAGAAAAATTATCAAATTAAACTAAAAATATTTCAATTATTAAATTAAAATGTCATAACCTAACCAAACTAACAAAACATGCTGATAATGAAAAAATAGAATGAAGGTTTACTGATCCAAAAAATAGGTTTGTTTATAAAATAAAATTGTAAATGCCTAAAATTAAATTTTATAATTTTTAATTATAAAATTAAACTGTCATAACCTAACCAAACCAACCAAACTTGCTGATATGAAAAACACATGTTTGACAAAAGTTAGTGCTGCCAGCGGGATTCGGACCCGGCATCTTTGGATTATCAGCCCGACACGCTTTCCACTTCACCACCGAGGTCGATGAATGAATTCCGTATCGTTGCGGTAATGGTGTTCCCTCAAGAGGAGATCTGACAGCTGACGTCATCGAAGGCTCTTCTGTACGGCCCTTGAGTTTATACCTTAACATCTGCTGTTCGAACTGTCAAATTTAAGTATTTACAGCTGACTTAAATTAATTTATATATTTACATTCTTTCAAAATGTAAACATGAAACATTTGGAAGCCCATAGGGCGTAGCTAAAGAGAAATATGAAAATTAAATGATATAATATTGCATTGTCATCCATTTGTGACCTATGTTTTAAATTTCAAGTCTCTAGCTCATCGGGATCTTCGTGTAAAATTGATATCAAAATTTGTAGGAAAGCAAGCTAATAAAAACAAGCCCATATGGGGTGTAGCCCAAGGGAAATATGAAAATTAAATGATATAATATTTCATTGTCATCCGTTAGTGAGCTATGCTTTAAGTTTCAAGTCTCTAGCTCATCGGAAAGTATCAACATTTGCAAGAAAGCGAGTTAATAAAAACAAGCCCATGGGGGTATAGCCTAAGAGAAATATTAAATTAAATGTAAACATGACTATATGACCTAAGTGTTGAAACATTTCGTTTGTTAATTAAAATGAATTTAAAAGGGTAGGCTACTAATGTTTTTATAACGTTTTCGATTATTTATAAAATTAAATTATATAATATTGCATTGTCTTCCATTTGTGAGCTATGTTTCAAGTTTCAAGTTTCTAGCTCACCGGGAAGTTAGTAGGTGTAAAATTGATTGCAAAATTTGTACCGGGCAAGAAAAACCAAGCTAATAAAAACGTTTTAAAAACAGCCACCTCCTACAAATATTGTGTCTTCTCACAAACGCTACATTAAAACATTGACTAAGGTCCTTGTTTGTAAAACAGACGGTCGTGTAGAAATACCCGCCAGCTAGTCGTCTGTGTGAACTTGAAACCCACCACCTAACAAGAGGTGTGTTACTTTGGTGGTTTGCATGGTGGTGCTTTGTCAGGGTGGCACCTAGATGGGAGCGCGCACGACAAAACATTCACCTCATACAAATTGTGTGGTGGTGAATTGTCGTGAAGGCACGTTGTCCGGGAAAAAACCTTGAGAGGAGATTGCACGAAAACCAAAACCCTCCACCTCATAACAATTGATGGTGGGTTGCCGGGTAGGCACTTTGCCTGTATTTAGAAAATAAATTTTGTCGATACTAGTGATCAGTTTTACCGGACACAAACTAGACACCAAAAACGAACCTCAAAATTAACAATTGGATGTATAGTATAGTTGTAGTCTACTTGGTGTTGGTTAGTTTATGATTATTCAATAAATTTTCCTCATGCAAAACTTTTCAAACCCTTAAACTACTGTATTGAGGACACTATGAAGGCAAGGTCTTTACGTTAATAAACATAAGTTCCACCACTTAAGTTTAGAACACTTTACTTTATATCTTAATTCGGCTATTTATATTAATTCATAGTAGCACGGCCACCTTTAACTACAAAGGCGGCCAAAGTGTCGACAAAATGGGAATAATACAGTTTCGATCAATTTCTACGATCGATGGTCGATAATATGGAACCAACCCGCCGTGATTAGTAGCCGCGTAGCCGTCTTAACTAAACAACATACATATTACATACTACATACATATAAACATTAAATGAAACTTGGTGGAAATTTAAACATAAGGGAATTATTTTTAGGCTGCTAGTTTGTAGGTCATGTTGGCTATCCTGTACCCGTGCAGCCCAAAAGGCCCGACCAGACCACTACAACTTGCTTGTCTTGGATCGCCGCCATTTTCGTTTCGTTTCAGCAAGTCAGTTAAATTGTAATGTTAAAATTTTCTGTGATGTAGTTACAATTAATGTGCGGTTATTTTAGTGACTTATCATGGCCAAGGGAAGTGGCAATATTAGAGGTAGATCCTCTGATGCTTCCAAGCCGTACGACGTTTCCAACGTAAGTACTTTTATTATCAGTAATATCGGCGCCAAAGTGTGGTTTGCTCGTGGTGTTCTGCCGTTTAGTCGACCTCTAACTGAGAAAACGGTTTATTCCCAGTTTTTGCGGAGAGAGATACTTATTTCATAATTCGTTCTGGTTTGCTCCTTATACTTGAATTGGCTTAAAAATCTTTGGCCCAGACCTAATACAACTCTTAGGTCCTTGCAATGTGGTGTTTTATGCCTAACCTATTATATGACCATGACAGTGCTGATGTTCTCAAAGTTTGATGCTTCCTATTGACAGCTTGAGCTTTTGCGAGACAGAAGGAATCCTAGTTATTGTTTATTCAACAGGTAGATATCAATAATGTACAAATGGTCTCCTCTTATCCCCACAATAGCTTAGAATAGGTTATCTCAGTGCCAATATAGGCCTTAATGTAAGCTAACTGTAATTTAAGTTAGATAGGCAATTGGCCCTAAGTTGGGCAAAGATTTTAGCAAGGTCCAGTGAAAAATTACTAATAGTGTTTTAAGGTCACAGATTGGAGCAGCTCTAAATACATCTAAGTTAGACTGACTAACTTAGCCTCTAGGTAACTTACTACTAGGGCCTACTAGGCTACTTACGCAAACTCATAACTTGTTCGGTTGTTTATTTCCTGGTGATACAGAAATGACTCGGTAATTGAACAGACTTCTATGCTATATTGCAATCTTAAGCTGGAACAAAATAAATAGGTGACTTAACTTAGTTGTTTTGTTTTTACAAATTTAAGTTATCCTACAAAAATCTTAATTTAACCCTCCGAGTGTTATGTTGCCGCGACACCTAACAAACATAATTTTCGACGAAGGCTCTGGGACTGACTGAATCGGACTGTGGTAATTATTCTATTTAGGTGCCTCCAAACGAATTTTTAATTTTGATATCTTAGGCCTACTTTATAGTTTTTTACCTCCTGAATCCAAATAAGTATACCATTACTTTTCACAGCTGATGGATATTTTTCAAGATATCGCCGTAATAATATAAGAACATTACCGTACAATAAACAAGGTAGGATGGATGACATTTACAAGTGGATTGAACTATGGGTTAAGTAAGGCAACAGCTGATTGTTTTCAATCATAATGTAGTCAAGCAAATGGAAGTGACAACTTTAATTAGCTAGACCTCTGATTCTGCAATATAAAAATCACCTGATTAACTTTAGTTACACTTTTTACTTTCTAAGACCAATAAGTTAATACATTTAATAAAATGTACCTAAATATTGTTACCAGCATTTTATCCTTTTTAATGATTTATTGATTTATATTTTGCCGTTTAGAAATTACATAATAAAATGGTGCTATTCTAACATAACCTAACCTCTAGAATGTAAGCAAACTCCTTTTAATGTAAGAAAAGGTATGTCAGGGTGGTAGGTCGTGCTTTGTGAATTGGTGACTGCATTAAGTCCTTTGAAGGTAGGTTAGATTAGGTAAGTTCAAGTTTAGGTTCCCTAATGTATCGAGTTGTTAGTTTATGTCGCCAGCAGACTGTTTTTGTAAAATTAAAATTCAGAAAGTTGAAGTGTTTTTCTCAGGATTTTAATTTTACAAAAACAGTCTGCTGGCGACATAAACTAACAACTCGATACATTAATAACCTAAACTTTACCTTCCTAATCTAACCTAACTTCAAAACACTTGCAGTCACCAATTCACATACAGCACGACCACCACCCTGACATAGGCTACCTAAATAAGAAATACAGTATGTAATTAGTCCACCAGTCCATCTATATCTCCATAATGTGACGAGATTACTAGGCCTATATTATAGAAAGCATTAGGTATTGACTATAGAATCACTTGAAATGTTTCTACAACGATGTTATCATGTTTAATCAACGGTATTCTTCTTCTCATCAACCATGTTACTTTCTTCACTTAGGCTAACCTTTCTTGTCGTGTGGTTGAAAACAGTCAGCTGTAGGCTTAGTTAACCACAGTTCATTCCACTTGTAAATGTTATCCATCCTACCTTGTTTATTGTAATGTTGTATGTTTTTACGGCGTTATCTTGAGAAATATTCATCAGCGGTGAAAAATAATGGTATATTTGGATTCAGGAGGTAAAAAACTATAAAGTAGGGTAAGATATCAAAATTAAAATTTCGTTTGGAGGCACCTATACGGAATAAATACCCGGATTGTAAGTAACTTAACTTACTGGGATCAAGATAGGCTAAGTTAGGTAGGCTATATTAGTTTTTGTCCGATTCCAAGCTTTCTCCCGATGTACCTAGGCCTATGTGTCTTTAACTTAACTTAGATGCTTATCATTTTCGTGCCGATCATATTGTAGCAGACAGATGATATGCTTATTTGTAGACAACTTGGTTGACCTAACATCGATAACTGATGTGTTTTATTACGTTTAATCATTGTTTTTAGTGATAAAAAATAAATAAACTTTCAGTAGAAACCCATTAACTTAGCCGAATTCAGGCCGAAACCCGGGTTAACTGAAATGGTTCCATAAAATAACACGAGGCTAAAATATTAATAACTTGTAACTTACCCTTCTGTAATATAGGGCCTACCAATACCTGATGTAAAATGCTTTAAATCCAGTTGTTTTGCTTAAAGTATTCTCATACTGGTAAACATCTTAATTAAACCCTGCGATTGCGCAATAAATGGACAAACATTAAGACCTTTACTACAGACACTCGGAGGGTTAAGAAAACTAAGGTTAGGATAGGTAGGCCTAGCCTAATTTATATAATTTGTGACTTAGGTATACTTAACTTAGTAAATCCTTACTTATAGGTTCGTTTGGCCACGTTATTAAATTACTAGGTAGGCCCTAAAGCCTTAATTTGTGACCCATTGCTTAAATTTTAGCCCTACTTCCTCTGATATACCCAATTTAGGCATATACTTGTTTCACAACCCTCTTGGGGTTGAGTGCCTTGGGGAGGGTTTCAAGGAAATTGTATTTGAGGTTTGCCAGGATTGCCTACATGTGGTAGGCAATGAGTAAAAGTGAGTGAGCAATGAGTAGAAGTGCCCAATGAGCAAAACGGCACACGGAAGATTTCTCAGGTGCCGTTTGACGTCACTATCTGCTGACGTCACTTTGAGGGAACACCATTACCGCATCGATACGGTTTTGAGCCATCGGCTTTGGTGGTGTGTAATGGATAGCGTTTCGGGCTGATAATCCGAATGTACCGTGTTTGAACACCGCTGGTAGCACTAACTTTTTGTCAACAATTTGTTCATATCAGCAAGTTTGGTTGGTTTGGTTAGGTTATGACAGTTTAACCCTCCGAGTGTCCATAGTTTAGGCCTTAATGTCCACCTATTTTTGGCGCATTTGCAAGGTTTCATTAAAACGGATCTGAGAAGCTAAAAAAACAATGTTAATTCTACTGTTCTATATACCATTTTGTTTGGAAAATCATGGGCTTCAATATTATACCTACATAAAACATAAGGAACATTTGTTTCAAAAAAAATTTTTAGGTAAAAAAAAAATATTTTGGAAAAAAAAATAAGTTCGCGCTCAATGAAATTGTATAAATTATAGTCCTATAAATATTTGAAAATAGCCACTTTGTTGTAAATTTTATGAGGATTACAAATAGGCCTATATAATAATATAAGGAAGTAGATTTGCAAATAAATAAGTTATGGGCAAAAAACAGATTTCAGTACGGTACATAGCGTTTAGCTAAGAATGCATAGCCTAACCATAGCTAGGAATCTGGCTGATAATTTAGGTACATCAATATCACTACCTACTTCTTCAGGATCATCAACCAGCCCTTTAAAATAACTTAAATGTTCTTATAATGCACCACGTATATCACTACTTTTGATTTTTAACACTAAAACAATGATAAACGTAATAAAACACATCAGTCATCGGTCCGAGGTTAACCAAGCTGTTTACAAATACGCACGTCAGCTGTCTGCTACAATATTTTCGGAACTAAAATGAATAGCGCTTAGAGACAGACCTCCGGAGAAAGCTCTGAATATAACAAAAAGAACGATACCTAACTCGATCCAGTTCAATCCGATTCAGTCAGTCATAGAGCCTTCGCCGTAAACGATGTTCGTGTGTCGAAAAATTGACAAGTGACACTACACAAAGAGTGTCGTGAGTCGATTTTTCGACAAGTGACGCTCAGAGGGTTAATTTCATAATTAAAAAAATATAAAATTGGATTTTAGGCATTTAGGTTAAACTCACGACAAAAACCTAACCTAGTAATCGCCTGGCAACATAGGCCTATTTGGCCTTGAATTAAATTGAATATGAAAGAAAACACTGTATGTTATCATATGTAATTTGTTAGGTTAGTGTTAGGCCTAAAGCCTAAGTAATATGTAGGGCTACTCACTTAAAAAAATTCCAAGATATGGAAACGTTGAGAGCGGAGCAAACTGTGACCCCTCACTGCAGAATTTTTTGTAAAATTAAAATGGGGGCAAGAAACTATTTCCCAGTGCTGTCAACGATTCAGAACAAAATTTACCAGGATTTCATGAGTATTACAGGAGTCAATCAAACTGTTTAGTACATAACATAAGGGTGTGGAAGTCGTGATTACTACGGTAGGCCTAATCAGTGGTAGGAAAGGGTTAACAATCCTACATCATGCTGTAACTTACACACATTAAAGCAGTTGAAACCAGAACTGATAACTCAGGGATTGATAGTAAGTACCTACATTTAAAAATGGAACGGGTAATCCAAACCGACAAATTGTGGGAAGCAAGCTGGTCTGATGGTAAGGTCTCAGTCCCTGAGGTTATGGGTTTAAATCCTGCAAGGCACTAATAACTAGTTTGCACATGCATGGATTTTTTTGTAATTTTAGAAAGGCTTAGCAAGAGCAAGAGTTAAACGAGTTTAGGTCTATTATGAAGATAATGAGAAAGCAGTGTATAAGTTGAACAAGGCACCAAAATATTCTCTATTTTTGTATTTTATCGCCTTATGTGTTCATAAAATCTTGTGACAAACTGATTTAGGTTTTAAAAGTTTTAAAAGTGAGAGGAATGTGGGCCTAATCTATGTTTTTTAAAACCTTTTTGTTATTGTTTCCCAAAGTCGATTACATTTCTGGATCCAATTTTCTTTGTAATTTGTCAGTTAAGTTATATCAATGTTTTTGCTGTTTCCACAGTCTTTTGTCAAGAGGGTGGCTTCACGAGTGACAGAACTGCTACCTCAGCCGACTTCGTGGTTATCTCGTTGGATGTCTCCCTCCGAAGTACCAAACACTAGTGACTTTGTCGGACATTCACTGTCTTCGACAATAACTTCTCGTCCGCCTGCCACGTCTAGAGCAGAACTGAACATTGTAGACAATGTTGACCATGCACCGGTTGCCAAAAAGCCGAGAACCAACCGTTACAACTCACCAGTGAACCAAAAGTTTCTAAAGAATGATCAATATGGTAAGTTTGATCCACAAGTCAATTTTCCATTTTATTTAGAAACAGGGTGATTCTCCATAAAGTGAAACTGACATGTAAAAAAAAAAAAAAAATGTGTTGTTGTTAATTTTATGAGTACAGTAGTACGACACACCAATTTTCAAAACAATTGGGACTGGACGCCATTTGGATAATCAAACATTCGCAAAGGCCTCATTGGATTTTTACCGAAATTCAAGACTTAAAAAAAAAAAAAAAAAAAAATTGGTAGAGTCATGCCGAGCTTTTACTATTGTTATTGCAGACACAAAAAACATTTGCGATTTTTTGGAATTTGGAAAATTTACGCTCTTCCCGTGATCGTGGAGTCCCAATCGCGAAAAACTATGACGATGTTTCTGTGCCGCTGGAGACGATGATGGTGTCTAGACCTACACGACTGTGGCATATGTTTATCATTTTGCTGCAATCGCGAAATATGATGGCAATGTTTCCGTGACCGCGGGATTCGATGATGGTGTCCACACAGCAATCGTTGAGCCAGGGTTTGGATTTTGCTGCCATAACATCTTCTACCTTCTTTAATAACTCTTATAACTGTAGGCCTAGTTTTAAATTTTTTCCGTAAGCAATTAGGATAATCAGCGATTTGGATAGTTGGAGTTTGGACGATTAGAGTTCTACTGTATATTTTCTTAGTAGAATAAATAGAATAGTTTTTAATGATAATAAAACATTTTCCGGTTTACATTCTGGAGAAAGCTATCTCTACTGACCTATAAAAACTGCTTTAAATACTTATCATTTAAACTTTTTCACTCATGATATATATTTTAAGCAAAGTAATATTAGTTTCAACATGGCATATGACGTTTTTTAGTTTTGGTGAGATAAGGATTAGTAAAATAATCAGTATTTGATCGGAACTATTTTACCCTATATCGAGTAATCTTCAGAGTAATCTTCTCTCAATAGTTACAACTGTTTTTCCCCCCTTTTTGCTGTATTGTGTAATTTGTTAGTATACTGTGGATGGCTAAACAGATGTGACAAATCTTATGTTTTTTTTCCTTGTTATTTTGTTCAGCCAACATAGTTAAAGCTACCCATAAGGCCAATGTTAATTATTTTAATTTTTAAATGAGAAGTGTAGCGAAATACAAATTTTCCTGAGCTAGTGGCTGTGGCCAATCACTTTTTTAGGCCCTAAGTCCCTGATTCCAAAATCTAATTCTTTTCTTTCTTTTTCTTTTAAAAAAAGAGGTTGGCGGCCTCTTTTAACCTTGCATTTGCCCGTCCACATAGACTAAGCGCCTGTGCGTGGATCGTTTACAGCAAAGCAAGGAGTGAGCCGGTACAGTACAAAGGTGAACTGTACTGATAAAATGTTATCGGCAGTGACCAGGATCCGAACCCACGACATCGCTGCCTTGGGCCCGAAGTCCGCGACGCTACCGACTGAGCCACCGACTCACTAAATTCCTTGAAATAAATAAATAATTTATTTAATTATTAATTGAAATAATTAAATTATTTAATTGAAATTATTGAATTATTTAATTGAGTTGCTAATTGAACTTTCCGCTGGATTTTGAAATACAGAAAGACAGACAGACAAACAGACATAGCTCGTATTTAGAGATAGTATTAAAAAAAATATAGGTAGGCCTAGCTGAATTTTTATTTCCAATACAGATTGTTTTTGAAGACTTAAAAGTCTGTCCCATACATCACGTCACACACGGTAGCCTATAGTTGGAAAAAGGCAATCTAGGGCAGTTATCCTACATAGTCAAGATTGATGATCAAAAATTTATTTATCAATACAGTGTACTTAAGATATGCCAGATAAAATAAGAACCTCGATACAAATTTAATACTATTTTTGTGTATTTTTTAAAAGGAGAAAATCTTTTGGTCTCATTTTACAAACCGTAGCTAGAATCCAATGATTACGCCAAGATTAGAACTCGTAAACAGTTTGTATGCTCCATTTAAAAACATTATTAAGTATGTCTTCCTTAGTTTAGTATTTATTTCCTTGTTCATCTTGAACTATAACTTCATCTTTAATACCGGGATATATGTAAACAAAGTCTAAATTGTCAATCAAATCTTAAAACTTTCTCAGCCAGTTCATAGGGACCTGCTACTGAAAAGTTCCTTTTGAACTTTTTATGTTAAATCTGTTCTACAATTACTAATCAGTTGGTTAAATAAAGTCTTTTTTTTGTTAAGAGACTTAGGTAGGCCAGAAAAAACTTTCTTTTTTGCTTTTCCAAGCCCCTGAGGGGATTTATATGGTAGGCTTACCTTTTTTGGAGTAACGGTGTTCAGTTTGTCTCAATTTTCTACTTTTTTCTGTACTTACGCTTCCTTTCATGTTCTTTATTAATTAAATCTTCTTTTAATTGTTCATTAGCATCAAGAGTAAGGTAGCTTTTAATTATTGAATCCTTGCTTTCCTCATTCTTTTCTTGTTTATTCTGAATTCCTTTTTACATTTTTTACCTCTTCCCTGTGTTTTATTCTATACTTTTTGCTTCTCTCACCATCACTCATAATAATGTGTTTTTCTAAGCAAGCGGCTCGATGTTCAAGCCGAGCCAAGGCTGAAAACTCGAGAGATTGAATGTTAGAAATTAAGCTCAAGCCTAGGTTTTACCATCCCAAAGTAAATTACAATTGGTGGACTCGTTTACCAAAATCTGTAGGTTGAAAAATTAACGCTTTCATCGTTAACCCGAATGACGACAATTAAGTTTCAATGATAGACCTAGCTGAAGACTATGATGATATTTTCGCAACTGCTGGAGATGTACAATATGATGCTGCCATCTACTTCCATAGACTCTCATTAAATTTACAAACTGATGAAGCTGTGATAAGGAAGGCCCTTTGAACGTGGTAGTTCCAAGGTAGGAAGGCCCTTGGTCTTTTAAACCACATTCCAGTCATTGTCATAATCATCTTCACGTCCCATGCCAATTTAGATGGAATGCATCCAAATTCATCAACTATTTAGGACTCAATGCTATAATAACAGGTAATGTGAAGGTTTATGGATGATTGCAAGCTTCACTTGATTGAAAGGACTGATGATTGCTCTTTTCAACAGGCGCAGAAGACATAAGTCCGATCGCAGTGAGGGGAGGAGGGGAGCCAGTAGCTGGTCCGAGCACGCGTGAAACTCGGCCAGAACTGATAGCTTCCACTCCAGCTATGCCACAGCAGATGACAGCTAAAGTCAATGGTGAGTGTGGCAAAACATTCCTACCTTCTTAGTTGTGAAACTATAAGCCTCATTTGAGTAACCTTATTTAACAGAAAATATTCAACACTCCTAACAGTACAGTTGTAAGTTTACTAAAATGGTTTGTACATAAACTACGAGCTGATGTTCTATTTATTTAGGCTACTAATACTCATACAATCTAACAATGTAAAAGCTGCTTCGGCTTCAAACAGTAGTATTGAATTCCATGTATTTTGAATATTTTGTAGATCCTTAAAGATAACTTTTTCTGACCATTGTACCTTTTACAAAGGTTCTTTTTAGTTAAAGTGAGAGGATAAACCTCTTAAAAACTATACAATCACTTTAGGTGGGCTGTTACCACTTCCCACCTAAAGTATTATTGTACAATATATCTGTTATAATGCTTCTGTTTTATTATGAATGAATGAATGAATGAATTATTTCTTTATTCCAACAAATTACGGTATTTACAAAATATGTACACAAATATTTAAAGGAAGAACAAAAACATAAGTGAATTTAAAAGAATAAAATTAAATAAACCTTTACATTACATCTATGGTAAAAAAAACGTACATGTTAATAGGGAATAAGCCGACATGGGCAGCGAGCCTGTGCGTCGACTGCAGTTGCTTCCAAACATACATTATTTATCAAATGCAATAAATAAATAAATTACAGGAGAAATGATGAGGTGAAAAAATGATGTGATGGAGTTACAAGAAAAAAAAATTTAAATTGTGAAATGAATGGCTACGTGAAAAAATATTAGGTGGCATATTGAGTTATATTGAGTTATATTGGTTATATTGAGAGGATTTACAAAGCCTTTTAAAACGTTAACTCCAATTTATGTGGATACCTAACAAGCCTTTGCTACTAGGCCTACCAAACTTGTCATATTTCCATTTCATAGTAATTCTAGTGTCGAGTTTCCCTACTTTAAATCCAAGGATTGATTAAGTTCCATTGTTGTTGTTACATTAACAGGATTTAGGTAGCCTAATCTTATCATAAAATATATACTGATTCCTATCCATTTTGATTAGTGCTGAATTGATGAAGGGATATATTTAAGTTTGTGACTTTGTCGAATTTGTTCTATGTGTATATTATAGTTTTTATCCTAATCCGTTGGAGTTTTCTCCATTGTTGTCTGTAGAGTACCATTTGTATGTCTTGTTGAACATTATTATGTACAATTACTATTTCCTGTCCTCATAGAATGCACTCGTTAATATTTGCAGTTCCAAAAACTGTTAGTTACATAGGTTCATTGTACAACCTACACGTTCGCTACATCCAAGCTATGTCCAGTTCATAGGTTACATGTCTTCTATCTAAAGTCTAAACTTCAGCCCTTAACCGTTCATATCCTAGAACTCCTAAGATTTCCTCCTGTTTCCCACAGTCTTCCAAACACTTAATCGCTAAGTAAGAGCAAATGACGGTTCGTAGGTGATGACTGTTCAGAAACTAGTGAATCTACAAGTGGTTGTTCTTCGCTAGTTCCGCAAGCACAATCTTCGACCCGTAGTTTGGGTGAGTAATATTGATTCCCATATGTGATGCTTCTGTTTCATCACATATTAAAATAAAAATTCATGTAAATGTATTGTTCAGTCTAGCAATTTAAATATTTAATTAATGTGAAGAAAATATTAGAATATGTCCGTTGATTTTTATGAAGTGTGATTTGGTTTGTCCTTTTGGAAAAAGGTTTACTATTCTACATTGTAAGAAGTTGCATTTTTGATTTAAGTACTACTAAGTTAGTAGAACCCCTCATATCTGACTATGTCTGTCCATGGTTGGAACAGCCAAAAGGTCGTATATCGAGAGAATAAAAAAAAACCATAAAAACTAAAAAAAAAAAAAAAAAAAAAAAACAATAGACATAATTAATAACAATTAATACATATACAGTATTATTAAAAATAATTAGGGATTTGTGAATACTCTATACCAATGATTCTTAGTCATCAGTATTGATATCAAAAATCGATTGTCAACCGTCTTCACATTGGTCTGAGAAGATCACACACAATCAAAAAGTCCCCCCCTTCTTTGCGATCAGGGATAATGAAGATAACGTTCGCCTGACTGCGGGAGATGATGATAATGATCCATACAGCTTCAGTAGATTATCACATTATAAAATTTTTCCACAATTGTAGAAGATGATGGTATTATCAAAACGACCATGAGAGAAGTTAATGATTTTTCCGCAATCTTGTCAGACGACGATAATGTCTATACAACCAAACGATATTCAGGATTTGGTCTCAAAAGTGGAAGATGGTGAAGATGTTTCCATTAATGAGGAAGATATTCGGTAACTAGCAGCAATTTCGGAAGATAGTGATGACAGCTTTCAATAATCTACCGGTGTTGTGGAAGACAGTGATTTTAAAAATGTATTAATTTTAAAAAATACATTATATTTCTTTATATTGATAGGTTCAATATGACACATCAGCCACTTACTCGTAATCGTAAACAAAGCGCTAGTGCTGGTGAGTTTTATCTATTAAGTTATATTTCGCTTGAGATTATCACCCCAGACAGGAAACAAGTAGTCGGTTGAACACTAGGTCAGATATGACCATGAGTTGTTATGAGGGGTTCTACTATAGTTATCTATGCTGTGATTATATTTATCTTTACCAACAATTTTCCTGACCATTCGTAGTCTCTCATTGACCAGTCTTTTGCTGTAGGTGGTAGCAGATATGGCAGATCTATACCTGGAGGCTCAACTCTTGATGCCCTGGACAGAAGAAGACCCTCATTCAATACCACCACTTTCCATTCACCACTGAGGGTAAAGATATCTTAAAACTGTCTAAGAAATGTTAACTTACTGAAAATATGTGTTGTTATTATTAAGCTTATAGCCAATTTTCTTATTTAAAGACAATGGAATGAACCACAAAAGAGTGTGCCAGAGTAAAAAAATTCTATTTTCTTTGTTCTTGTATTTTCTTAGTTTTTTTTGTTGATAAATTGATGCTATAGTTTACAATAAGTTGTCCTTTTAGTTTTCATGCTTTAAACATTTTTGTGTGCATTATGCAATAAAAAAAAATAATCGCCATTGTCGGTGGCTTAGTTTAACTATGTTAATTTTAATCTTAATCAGACATGCAACTTAAAATAGGGCTTATTCCATAGTGACTTCTTATGTTATAAACTTTGAGAGTGTTGTCACCAGACAATCACGTTTCCATAGCTGTTCTTCGAAGGTTAAAATTGTTGTTCACAGACTTGACAATTTAGCATATTCAAGTAGGACAATAAAGGTAAAACATTTGTATTCTAATTTTATTACATTACTAGAATTTAATACTGAAGCGATTAAAGCCACCTGATTTAAAACCATTTCAAGTGTGAATGATGATACATTATTACTGTTTTGTCAATGTTGTTAGGCGAGTATGAGAGCCAGAATGGGCAGTTCTCCGTTCTACTCGGGCCGCACAATGTACGGAGGCTCATCACAGGCGTACAACTACGCGCGTCTGGTGGAATCGTCTCCGTCTAGGCAGGGAACGTTTGTGCGTCGCGTAGAACCAACAATGCGGCCTGTGCCATCGCAGCAGTCCAGCCTGCCACTTAGTTCCACAGCTAAACGGATATTAGACGCGTTGGAACATTTCTCTACACCAGTGAGTGTTTTTTAAGTGTAGCCTATGCCAGTGATCATTTTGAATGAAAACCTTCATCAGATTTCCTTCATTTTATGCCTAGTATCAGGTAGTAGTAGTTGCAGGTTAAGTTAAAGAAATGACCATGCGGCTCTAACTTTGTCTGTGTAAATACCTTAATAATTTTTCATTTCATTTCATTTTTAATTTAATTTAATTTAAATTTTATTTCAGTATCCACCCTGATCCATTGATGCCCTTGACACAGATTAGCTAAAATCAATAATAGCTCTGTTAAAACCTTTTTATGTTCACACTAGTGCAGGGTGTCCACATTCTGGAAAGTCAGGGATAGTCATTTGAAAGTCACGGAAATAGGCTTAAAGTCATGGAAATCCCCAATGATGGATTGATTTGAGGAGACCTTTCAATGCTCTAGTTGGCGTTTATTGTAGAATTTTCAGGATTTTTTACAAAATGTACGACAATTCAATTTATACAATTGTATTAGGCCTAGCTTATCTGGCCTTGCAGTTGTATTGCATATCTGGGTGCTGACTAGATCTCTCTTAACATATTATCTGCATTTTCTTCAGATATGTTGTCAAAGTTAGTTGAACATTATTTGTTTGTAGATGATTGATGCCAAGAAGATGCCAGTGGTAGGCACAAAACGCAAGTTAGAGTCTTTGATAAGGGCTCCACAACAGAGGTACACAGAGCTCAACATCCCTTCCACACCAGACCTGCTGCGGGTCAAGCGGAGGGAGAGACTACAACAGAGCACTTTAGACGCTAGACAGACTGCAGCTCAGACTACACCTGTACCTGCTGCACCTGTGCCTGAGTATACCATCAGGTAAGACAAACAAACAATAGGATGAATAAATTTTAAATTAACCGTTTTAAACAAAGATAAAAATAATACAGTAGTACTCGATAGTTCGACACTTGTGGACTTAGGGGATGTCAAACTATGGAAATGTCAAACTATAATGGAGTTTAGTATACAGGAAAGTAAAAAAAAAACACAAGTCTTATGTAGAAATCACGTAAATTTATAAAATACTAAAAAATCTTAACAATTTCACTGTTCATTAGTTAAGTCAACAATAAATGACAAATTAATGTTCAAGTCTGCTTACATCACAATAGTAACCAATACTTGACAAAATAGTTCAGCCGTGTCGAAGTATCGAGTGTCGAACTACCCAATCAAAGGTTTACTGTAACAGTTTCAACTGAACAACTTTTTGAAATTACAAGAATTTAGAAAATTTTTGTTGGTATTACTCCTTTATTGGACGAAAATCAAATGCTAAGGGTAAATAGTATCTGTGAGAAGACCTGTCATAAAATGGCAATGCCCATCAACTGCTATTAAAGTTCGTTGCCTGTTAGAACATGAGTTAAGTAAAGTGTTTGAACAAGTGCGTAAGGGTTAGAAGTAGTTCATAGATGGTTGTAAACATTTGTATAATATTACGATGTTTTGCTCAGTGTAGGCTGGTTGCAGTAGTTATCAGTTGAGTATGTGGTAGTGATTAGATTAGGGGAATTCTGCAAGCAGATAGGGGTTTGACTGAACAAGAGATTGCACATACCCTAACCGTTTAAAAAACTCATCAATCAGCAAATAAAACACCTCAAATTTAATCACTGTCCCAATGGGAACTGGTGTACATCCGCTGCTGGCTTCTTTGTGCAATTGTCTATGGCCTTCTGCAAATCCCAAAGCCACTAGGCTAGTGCACGTTTTACTGAATTTAAACACTTGTCTACTACATACACATCCGTCCACTGGCAATGGATTTCAGTAAGGGCTAATGCCGAATTCATAGTAAGCTAATCACAGAATAGTAAACAATGTTTGTTGGTCTCAGATTTAAACTAGCTAACTTAGCCGCGATGGGAGCTCTATGGGGACTTTAATTTATGAACGAACCTCGTTCCACATACGGATATTACATGATCTACAATAGAATGTAGGGCATCAAATAATCACCTTAAATTAATAAAAAATGATGAAAAGGTAAACTCTGTGTTACATTCATGATGTATACTATTTAGAGTTTCCTCATATACTGGGATATTGGTTACCAGGTTCTTGTTGTCAACTGATATCCCCCACTTTTCTTCTTACATCTATTTTCCTCACAAACATACTTAAATGGCTATTTATGTTTCGCTTTTGCTATTCTTATGCTTCAAATCATAATGTGGATGTGGGTACGGTACCTAATGTATGCAAACTTGCTTTTTCAATACACCATGATTTTTTAGTAAAATGAAAGCCAACTTCCTACTAATTTTGAAGTCGTTAGTACATACATACATATTCTCTCCCATTCTGGTTATCTATGACCACACAGCCATTAGTGTAGTCTATTTAATAAGGCTTTTGTCTAATTCTGGCAATAAAGTGTAAAGCTATTTTTCCCGTTTTAAGTGGTGGCTGGAGGTAAAGCTATTCATAAGATAAGCATTGCAACTGTTTAATTTTATTGTTACATAACGTTGAAAACTCTTGGCCAAAAATATGAGGTACTAAGTAAATAGTGGCTTAACTGTTATACAACAATAATAACCGGGGAATATATGTTAATGTATGTACGTATTCCTGAGGTTTTAATTAAATATTTTTAATATACGTTCTCTTTTTTTTCAGAAATGAGGACACAGATAGAAAGAAACATACAGGGAAGGTGAAAACAAAAAATACCCTAGAAAAAGAAGAAACTGTGACGGAATTGAATTTACCTGCTGCAGTTTTGGAAGTGAGAAATCTTCCTAAAATAGATATTGCCATTCCCCCTCCCCCTAAACCAGTAGCAGTGTCCTCGCAGCCTCTTACAACAGCTGGTAGCAAGTTTGTGTTCTCTCAACCAACCATAGTGACCAGTGTTGTGGTGCCAGTGCATGTCCCCACATCTACCTTCATGTTTAGTGAGCCACTAGCCGACAACAGCAGTAATAAACATGTTCCCAGTAGTGAGACTCAAAAGTCGAAGATACCTTCTGACGAGCTATCAAGTAACTTAACAAAACAGGAGGGGGACAGTAAGAAGAATGCCTTAATTGATACTGGCATGGCCTCTGCTATGAAATCGACCTTTGCAGGCTCCGGCACTAGTACTAATGCTTCCCCGATGAATACAAAATATAAAGTAGTTGTAGCAGATGACAAGACTGTTAGTACAACACAAAAGTGGGTGTGTTCCAATTGTAAAAATAATAATTCATCTAGCTTAGAAATCTGCACATCGTGTAAGACAAACAAAAGTTCAAAAACACTCAGTAGCAGCAAAAACAACATCAAGTCTTCTACACCGAGTGGTTTTGATAACTGGTTAAAAAAACCTGTTGGCAGTTGGGAATGTTCTACTTGTTTAATACTAAACAAAGGTGAGGCTAGTAAGTGTGTTGCTTGTGAATCTTCAAAACCTGTGGCAAAAGAGAAATCTGTCGAAAAAGTTGCCACTGGTACAGACAAGCTGTCAACAGTACAAGCTAATTCAGAGCCTAAAGTGGTCAGTAGTGGATTTGGGAATCTATTCAAAAAACCCTCTGGTGTGTGGACTTGTGACGTTTGTATGATTAACAATGATGCGGACAAAGTCAAATGTGCTGCTTGTGAAACACCGAAACCGGGAGCATCAGCACCAAAAGTTTCTGAGACTTCCTCTTCTGAGGCAAAACAAACTGGTAGTGGTTTTGGAAATCTGTTTAAGAAACCCTCTGGTACGTGGACTTGTGATGTTTGCATGATTAACAATGATGTGGACAAAGTCAAATGTGCTGCTTGTGAAACACCAAAACCAGGAGCGACAATTTCAACAGCCGCTGAAACTTCAGGTCCAAAATTTTCTTTTGGGATACCATCAGCTGTTTCTGCCAGTACTAAGGTTGAACCTACCTTCAATTTTGGAATTCCAAAAGGGGACCAAACAAGTTCAAATTTGAACTCTTCTTCATTTATGCTTAAGACAACAACTAGCTCAGAAAGTGCTCAGACTCCTGCTCCAACATTTTCATTTGGAATTCCCAAAACAGAAGATACCAGTTTAAATTCTGTTACAAGTAGTACCATTCCTTCAAAACCGACTTTTCAATTTGGGTCAGGTTCTGTTCTAGCAAAAGCTCAAGAAACAAATTCATCAGCAGAAACACCTACTAATCTGTTTGGTAACTTATCAAAGAACTCAACACCAACACCAGAAGCTAAGAAACCAGTGGAATCAGAAAAACCAACATTCAGCATCCCGACTACTCTTAGTACTAGTGTCAGCATCAAGCCTGCAACTCCCGTCTTTGGTGTAAACACGGAAAAGTCAACGTCTGAAGAGACTAAGACTGCCAACACACCAAACCTCTTTGCATTTGGAACTGGCAAAGCAGTCCAAAATGAAGTTAAGACATCAGATTCAAGTTCTACTCCTAAACCTGCCCAGGCAGCTTTCATGTTTGGTGCAAAACAAGAAGGGTACGGAAGCAATTTACCATCATCTACCACCAATACATTGTCATCAAGTTCACCGTCGAATGTTTTCAAGTTTGGAGACACTAAGACTGTATCTTCAGGAAGTGGGGCGACATCAATATCTTCAGTTAGTACTCAAGCAAGTGTGATGACTCCCACAACCAATAATATGTTTAGTTTGAACGCAAACTCTGAGAAGAAAACTATCACCTTTGGAACAACGCAGCCAAAGGAGACAGCAACATCAGTACCTACCCCCACCACAGAAGCTAAACCAACATTCGGTTTTGGAAAACCTAACATGACTTCAACATTTGGAAGTACAAATACATTTGGAAGTAGTAGGCCTACTTTGGTTACTAATGAACAACAAGCAACTCCCTTTGCAACTCAAACCACTAATAGCACTTTCGGCACAACAACTGCTAATACATCTTCTAGTACATTTCCATCATTTGGACAAACAAATGCTTTCCAGAATGCACAACAAGACACTAAACCGTCACCAGTGTTTACTTTTGGTACATCTGCTCCACAGAATGAATCTGCCCCTAGTGGTGGTTTTGTTTTCAATCCCGTATTTCCCTCTAACCAAACTCAACATGACACTCAAAGTCAACCACTGTTTGGGTTCAACAACACACCAGCCTCCAACCCAGCTCCTTCACCGGCATTCAATTTCCAGCCCAAGTTTGGGTCAGCAGCTTCGGGTGGTTCTCTCTTCAATGCCTCAGGAAGTACACCAGCTCCAGTTTTCGGGGCAACTTCGGCTCAGCAAGTTCAGTCTTTTGGAGAACAAGCGACGACAGCTCCAATGTTCAATTTTGGGTCTCAGTCAGCACAACAGCCCCAAGCTCCAGCCAACCCCGTGTTTGAGTTCGGATCCAACCAGGTAACGACTTAAGAAATATTAATATATTTGTATTTTAAGGTTATGAGGTAGAAACGCTTCTTATGAAAGAGGTTGATAGTTATGCCAGAGGACATAGCTGGCATACCTATAAACAAATGTGTTCATATGAGGGACCAAAAAATTAAAATTAAAAGTTTATGAATGATTAATAAAATAATATTCACTTAAAGATATGTAATGAGTCCATGTCAAAGTCCGTACCTAATACATTTATCTACAATGTATGAATCTAAAATAAGGTTAATGTTTTAAACCAAACATGTACCAAAATGTAAGTAAATGTAAGTAAGTTAATGTAAGTAAGTGTAAGTAAATAGGTAAATGTAAGTTTTATTCAAGGGAAGGCTCTGGGCCTGATTTTAAATTAAATGTAGAATAAGGAGAATAGCAGCTGGCTTACCTTGAAGAATTGTAGGTAGGTAGTCCATGGAACATATAGAAGAGACACTGTACACACAATATTTTGTTCCCTGGGAATTTTGTCAAGTGTAGAGAAAGTTATAAGAGTTTACAAAATGTACCACTTTCTTAAATACAAAATCCCCAAATTGAATGTAATGTAGTATTTGTATTATTGTAAATTTTAAAAGTAATATTTTTGGTTTTGAAGCAGCAGAATGTAGCGGCTCCGCAGCCAGCCCCGACATTCATGTTTGGAGCAGCCTCCGCAGCTCCTGCAGCAGCCCCTACCAACCCTCCTGCCTTTGACCCTAACATGAAGCCGACCTTCAACTTTACACAAGGCACTTCAACTCCTGTGTTTTCGTAAGTACTACGTAATTTACATATGTTGAGATTTTTAATCAAATTGGGTTTTTGTTTCCTGTTTAGCGTTAATAGGTTTAACAACAGGGTGCAGCACTATTATTTTTTTGTTTATTAATGACAACAGCTAATTTGCAGCCAAAAGGTGAGTGAGCTTAGCGAATGATGTTCAACCTGGAGGCGAGTTACTTAGCAAACGAACTTCAACCAGGACTTGATTGAGCCATGCGAACGAGCTCATCTTCAAAATGAACGAGCATTTGACATAAAACCACATTAGGACAGGACGACGTCTGTCAGGCCAGCTAGTAGTTCTATAAATGCTTTAAGTACTGCTGTTGACAAATTGCTCGATATAATTTTGAATTCATTTTCCGACCCATAGTTGATTTAGATTAGATAGTTGATTTTGATAGTTGATTTTAGATAACTTGTCCAAAGAAATTGCATAATGGGTAACCAAAATATTCTTTTAACGTTTTTTTTTATTTGATACTAATTTAAAATTGGGAGTTCTAATTGGACTGGAACTCAAAACTTTGCTGCAGCATTTTTTATATATTAATATTGATTGATAAACATCGTATAGAGCCTTGATATATGCACAGTATGATGTTTATGATGCATATATCAAGGCACAGGTAAATACTAAAATGCTTCTAAAATATTCTCCTCATTTCATGCTTAGCTTTGAACATACATTAGGTTCTCCATGTTGCTTGCTTCTTCCCTGAACCACTAGTGTTATAATGTGTTATAATTATTAAGTAACAGGTACATAAATTGGTGTAAAATACCTGCATTTATGCGATCTTGTGTTGTAGCTGAGTTGCTACCGGTTTCAACTCACATTGGAGTCATCTTCAGGCAGTTATAAGATGTCATATCGCTTCATTGGAAGGTCGTCAGTGGATAATAAATACATAAACAAAACACAAACACGTACACGGACATAAAAAAGAACATTTAAAGCTGTAAAATACTGAGAACGGTAGGCCTACGGGACACGACACGACGTGATCGGGCGAAAGTTATGTCTAGAGAGTAACTTCTCTAAGTTTGACTAGTCTGTCCTAAAACTACACTTAACCACAATTGAACAATGCAAGAATTAATACATGATTACTAACTAATAGACAATAAAAAATTTTAACACCTAAACACATATGATCAAGGAGGCTAAAATTCAATATATAATGTAACAGGTACAATTTTACCTGTCTGATGAACAATGTCCTGCATTGAACTTTTTATTGTCCTTGCCATTACCCTTCTGATAAAAAAGTTTTTACAAATGGGCCTATGTAATCGGTCCTGTTGATTATTAATTTGTATATGTTCCAATTAAACCCCTTTTTATTAGTTTGTTAGTCCCAATACCTAGGGAACTTTAATTTTATTGTTCTAGATAACATGTTGCCTAAGGTTGACCAATGAATTTATAGATATTTCCATTTTGAATTGTTTATAGAGCAATACCAACAGTCAACGCAACAGGGCCGCCACAGCCTACGAACAGAAAGATCAGGAAGGCAGTGCGGAGGACAAACATATCATCTGTTCGCAATTGAACACAGAGTGATTAGTTTTACATAATATAATTTATTTTAAACAGCTTATATTCTAACATATATGCTGATGAGAGAAGAAAACGACATCTTAATGGAGAATGAGTATAATGGTTGTGTTGGCTGTTTTAAAATCTTGTTATTTTTTTATAGACTTATATACCTCTAATTACAAACGTGTTTTATGTTATTTAATTTCATTTAAAAATGTTTATACACTAGTTAAGGGAGTATAATCTCTAAGAATTAACAAGCTCGTACAATGATATTCACATTTTGTTGAATATTGTTATATAACATAAAGTAAAAAGTTGAATGTTTTTATATCCATTGTAAAAGTGACCCTAGTCAGATCTCTTAAAAAAATTCCAGACACTTTTTTGTCACATTAAAAAGTTATTACCAAAGAGTTGGTTTGCAACTGATCTTAATGTTCTGTAATTTATTTATATATTTTTATAAGGTTTTCTAAAACTTATTGTTACGTGTCGATATAACTTGAAGGGTGTAAAATATATACATACAACTTTTTTCTTACTTAAGTGGTCTAAAATATAAGATCATTGTGTACAGACGGAATAAGTCATTCACATTTCAGTTTGGTATGTGTTTTATATTTTTGTTTTAGCTTTCAATTAACTTGTTTTTACCATTGTATGTTATAAAATTCATCTTGTTGAGAGCTTTTTGTAACTTCTATTTCCATTAAATGTGTAAACATTTTACTATCAAAGGAACTTACAGTAGACGCCTTTGTATGAATGTTTTATCATTCAAACTATTATTTACCTCATTGGTGGTATCTGTATAACGATAGACAGTCTTTGTTGGTAGGCCTGTGTAAAATTTACACCTTATTGCTGCCAAAAGTAAAGAAAAAATTGGTCTGAACCAGGAAAAATATGGTGTTAATAATATTGATGATGGAGTAAAACTCCACCTCCGATCATCCAAATAATTGGTGAGAAAGTTAGTGTTTGTTTCGTTAAATTTGATTGAAAACTTAATGTACTGTATATACTTAGACTATATTGACAGTAAGAACAAAGTATACAAAAGACATACACTATATCTATACACACAGTTTGTATTTTGATTTAACTAAGTAGCAATATTAAAAAGGGAGACAAAGAAGTCTTATGTCTACACTACTCGTAAACAATTAAACTTTGAAATTTATTTTGAATAATATTTTGTTTTATCTTCAGATCATCGGGAAATCTATTGCATTTTGAATAGGAACATGATAACAAAATAGATGGTTAGAGGGAGAGACTTCTGACATGGGAGTTGAGGTACAAACCCCACCGATCACCATGGGGTGGAAAAGATAATTCCTCAGACAAAAAGTAAATTAACTTGAAATACCCAAGCTATTGTGTCGTCAACCGTTGTACAAATCGTACACAATCATATCTGTATTGTTGTCTTGGAGATCTCTTTCCACCAAACAATAATTTTAAAATATATCGGGGACCGGTTAGGTTAAAACATCTCAAGTAAACAAGATATTGTAAAAAAAAATATATTTTTTGTTTTATTTACAACTTTCTACATTACTGCTTTCTACATTACTGCAGGTCTTTTTTCAACTTTTTTCTTAAGTGGTCTAAAATATAATTACATTGTGAACAGACAAAATAAGTACCTACATACACATTTCAGTTTGGTATGTGTTTCACATTTTTGTTTTAGCTTTCAATTAATTTGTTTTTACCATTGTGTCATGAAATTCATCTTGTTGAGAGCTTTTTGTAATTTAAATTTCCATTAAAAGTCTAAACATTTCACCATGAAAGGAACTTTGAGTCCAAAAAGTTGGAATCAATGTATTGTGTAAACATTTTTGGTTGAAAATCTTCCTACTAATTGCACAACAACTCTAACCATTTAAAAAATATGTTTTTTTTACAACATGTAAAGTTTTTAAAGGTTGTTAGAAATTGTCTGAATAATTGAATTAAATTAAAATCCTCTTGTTTCATGTAGTAAGCAAACTTTACACAGATAAATTTTACACTAATGACTAAAAAGTAAACAAAGTAAAATTTTGCCATCATAAAATTGTTCATTAGTTAACAATATAGATTGATAACAAATCTTAAAGCAGTTTTTTCGTTGTACAAATTGTTGCATACGAGAATTTCTTTTGTATAAAAGTACTAGTTAAGTACAGGATATTCTCTGTTGATTGTATATTTATTATTTTACTCAAAAAAATTGTTTAACCTATTTCTCCACATGACAAATTTTTTGTGGTTTGTGTTTGTGAGACCCATTAGGAGGCATCTCAAGTTCTATGAAATATATTTATCGACAAAAATGTTTTTTAAAAGTTGATTTAGATATAATCGAGATTGTAAAAAAAAATGTGTTTAAATAAACAAGGATTGTGAGTAGGCAAGATATGTTAAGCATTAGCTACGTTATTAGAATTTGAATTGAAAAAATAGAATACCAAACATTATGTATCTAGTTACAAATATGTATCTGTACAATACAAACTGTAAATACAAATTTATTTGTTTTTTTTACAATTTGTAAATAATTTCTAACCTTTTTTAAAAACACCACCTTCTGTGGTAACTTTTATATAACTGCAATACAATCCATAAAACATGTCTCCATATCTTTTTCCATTCACTTTCTAAAATAAAATTCAATGAAGATAATACATGTTAGCGGCATGTTAGTAGTTATATTTGTCTTGTACTTAAAAAAGAGCTATCATTTCTCACATACTAGTTGATAGCAAGATTTAAAGTGAATCTTATAAAACGATGACCAGCCCTTTTGAGTTTTTTAATCCTATGACAAAACTATAAAAAACAGAAGAACTATCAGTGATAATATCATCAAATAGCTGGAAAATTAGCAAACCATAATATACAGATAGAAAAAAAGGGGGGGTTGTGTGAATGCTTTACAATGTTTGACGATGAAATTCTCTCACTATAGAGTATGGTAAAAAATTACAAAGATTCTGTGAAAAAAACTCCATCCATTCTAATTCATTTATATAGTGTTTGTTAGCACGATAACTTGAGCAAAATGAATCCAACTTTAATGAAATTTGTTACAAACGTGTAAGCCTACGTTTATTCAAACGAGTTCGCAAACCAGCTTGATTGGATCAAAGATACAGGGTTTTATGGAGTAAAAATTGGGTTTTCTTGTTTATCAAAGAAATTTGATCAAAGAAATTTCCCAATTTGTTGTATTTTGTTGTTTCCCTCCAAACAACTTTATTGAGCTTAAAAAAACAAACAAATAGCGAAAAAAATTTAAAAAATTGTAAATTTTAAATTTGCTGTTTTATTTTTATGCATAGTAAGTAAAATGTAATATTTTGCTAGTTTATGGATAAACTTTGATCAAACTTTGCATATTTATCTATTTTATACTAAGTTATTTATATTTTACCAAACAACACACTTTATTACTCTCCCTGTAGCAGCAAACCTAAGTACTCGTTAAACCTTGGATGTGTTGCTAGCATACTGGTTAGTGTCTCGGACTTCCGTGCGGGAGGGATGGGTTCTATTACCTTACACTTCCACAGACCTGTTGATTTCTTTAAAATGCCACTGGCGTAGAAAAAAAATCGATAAAACTACCTAATGTTATTTAAGTAGGGAATAAATCTTGACATATTATGAAAATATTTTAGTGAAAATCCAATCAGGTAAATGGGAATCTGCCAAGTCTGCAGATTTGCTGCGGCGGGGGTATTTATAAATTCAAACAGATCGTTTTCAGTTAAATGTATGCTTCTTAAGCAACACATAAATTGACTAACAATTCTGTGTACATGTAGACAGTCTTCATATATGCTACTGTAGGACCAACTTGAAATCTATCCTTAAAAATAAGTTGCTCAATAGTTAGAATGTGATTTTACATTAATAATATAAGTTATAAAACCATGTTAACAATTTATTTAGTAAAAAAAATAATAACCACTCTATGACATAATAAAATAATTTGACAAATTTTAAGCTACCGTACATTAAAAACAAAGAGAAAGCTAGCTTTACTTAATTACCTACTGGGAGAAAAGTATGGAATTCAAATAATATAATTAACTAAGAAAATAAAAACAAAGTTAAATATTCATTTTTTTCCGTTTTAGGGTATTATGTGTTATTTTATTTTTAAATAAACACGGACATTTAGTTACACACCGTAAATAGGTATTGTAGACAATCAAAATGTGATTATGTCTTATGAAGAGAAATAAAAACATTCCATTTAAATTGAATTTAGTTAGATTTTTTTTTTAAGACTAAATTTTGTTTCTAGGTTAATTTTTAAGGAGGTTCGATACTGCATCATTGTTAAAATAATATATTGTGTTCACGATGATTTTATTCATGGTGTTAAACCTTCATTGTATCTGAAATAAAATTATTTGTTAAATATTTTGATGTAAATAAAATACTGCTACTGGAACAGTATATGGTGCTATTTTAAATTCTACTCTCATATGAACATAAATGTGATGTTATAGTATTTAAATATTGTTCATGTAATTTCTCCAAACTGAAATGTGTTTGCATTTAATGTTTTAATTAGCGTAAGTTAAATAATTCTTATATCTGAACACTTACGGAAAAATATACTTGATTACTAATAAATTGAAAACAAATTTTCTTTTGAGATTGGTTTGTATTGATGAGACATACATTGTCTATAAAAACTATACTATTTTAAACAAAAAAGCATTTAGCTCGTTATTATTAGGTTTATAAATAATAGGATATATTGATACTGTATAAACTTGCTACATGTGTCAATTTTGCAAAAGAAATAAATAGTTTAAAGTGTTTTATAAAGTGTTAATCACAAAAAGAACACAGACTGGTAACACTTGTTCAATTTATGGCCAAGATCTTAAAAGATTAATTAGTCTTTTTTCGTTACCAATATACACTCAAATCATTAAACCAACAATTGACCACACAAAATGAAACTCTTATCTGGTATCATAATACTGCACTGAAATATCTCTTTTGCCAATTCAAACACTTCTAAAATATCACCAAGAATACAGTACCTACCTAAAAAGGCAACTATAGTAAAACTAAGCAGATTTTTTTAAAGTATTCAAGTTATTTTTACTCATATTTCAGAATAAATCTTTAAAAAGAAGTATTGTTTTGTTTAACAAATATTACTTGAGCAAATTAAAACATTTAGTTTTCTTTAAGGTTTGCTAAGAAAGTTATTGTTTAGGTTTTCTGTTAGAATAATTAACTATATTTTCATTAATGGTACTTAACAATTCACTTCTTTGAACTGTTGGTTTTAAGTCTACCATAAACACTTGTTATTTTTGTACTATCAGTCATCATCAGGGTGTGTTTTTTCACAATTTACTGACTGTAATTATTTTCCTATCGAACATGTAAATGTATTTACCGAGTACCTTACTAGTGAACATTCTCTGTTAGGTTTAATTGTGCGCGATTTTTACCAATTGGACTACCATGTCGATGATAATGTATAAATTCTTGTCAAAAACTATTCTAGTACTTTGAAGGCCTTATATCAAGAGAGTGTTCACGTTATGTCTAAGATCTAGCCATAGGTATGTATAACTTAGTCACTATGGGATATCCTAGAATAGGCAAAAGGCACACGCATGGCCTGGCCCATAGAAATCCGTGTGCGTGTTTAGAATTTATATTAATTATTATCGATCGATGCATTTTATAACTTTGTAAATCAATTCGTATTTTGTATTAAAGAAAAGATAACGGCGTTAAGTGAGTCGTTAAACCGAAGCATCTGTGATATTCCCGTGGGCCAGGTTTGACAGGCAGACTCACTCCTTAACAGTTCCTGGTCGGTCGAAAGCGTTCTTGTGTGTGTATGAAAGGAGTTAGACTGCTTAATTGTGTGTAAATATTTGTGTTTGTAGATAATTCTACTTATGTTCAATGTATATACGGTATAGTTTGTGTGTTTCATAAATTTGTTCCTCTTCAGACAGGTTTGAAAATTCAGCAACAACTGGTTTTTTGCAATTGTAAGATAAAAGATGTGTATAAAGGATCCGTTATATCAAAACGACTTGTTATTTCACCACTGACCCATTCAAATGCTTGTATCTCAATGTCCACATTGGTGAATTTTTTTGCATAAAACTACTGTTCACTGTTCAGTGTGTCCTATAAAATCGAACTGAAAACAATGTCAAGTTCATATAACCAAATTTAGTAATTTCACAGAAAAAATTAAAACAATCTGTCCAGTGTTTGGGAGACAAAAGTTAAATTGAATTGTCAGAAAAAGTTTCCTTGGTCCAACTTACATTAGAAATGTCCTGTATTTTACATGTGAATTATCTTTGATGAGTAATGAATTTCTTATCATCACTAAAAAATATAACAGAACAGAAATTAAATTAATATTTATTTTAAATCCACATAAACAAGATTATTGATTAAATGTTGTATACCTAATTTAATAATTAAGAGGACGATTGTGTAATTTTTGTGTTTGTATCTGAATTGAAATTAACCCTTACCGCGCTGTACACGAATATACTCGCCGAAATTCCCTTTGCTCAAAACGCTATAGACCACTATACTCGCCTTTAATACAGAGTGCATTGGCTGGTCCTTGTAGTTCCCAGTTTTGCTGAGAGTGCAGCAGCTATTGGAGAACATATCACGTGATGGAAAATCACAATAACAACGTTCCCCGCCCTCTGATTGTTCAAAAATGGCGGCGCCCTACACTTGCCGGTCTCTGCTATGAGAGACGCCAGCGCTGTGGACGAACTAACTCGCAAGTGTTTGGTTAACTCGCAGACTCCACAGAAAACTTTGTTCTCTGCTACGTTCGCTATTATATTGGCTTATTACGTTAGTTATACTGTTAAAATTATAAAATAATATTCAGCTTTGACTTTTGGGAAAATATATTTTTAGGCATATGTAGCATTACAGTCAAGGCCACCCGACATATTTGTAGCGCGGTAAGGGTTAAAGTCTGACAAGCCTCTGGTCCTGGTTATCACTAGACAAAAATGAAGGTGAGTTAAGCCTACAAATGAATAATACCTCGCCTAAAAGCAAGTGATTTAACATCAGAAAACATAGTGCTTTTGCACTTAATACTTTCAGTAAAAACAAATAAAACAGTGTACATTTTATGATGAAACTGATATTTCACACCAATGTCTTTTAACAACTTAAAAACACTTTTCTACTTTTTTAATTTAAAAGGTTGTAAAACCTTTCTAGGTGTTGTCTACATACAACCAATTTCAGATGCTCTCAGTTGCAGCATTATTATTGACTAGCAACAGTGCCCGGTCTCTAGTAATATAATGGTTATGAAATCCATACACCACTTTACTCACTAATATTAATGGTACAGATTAAGCACATAACATTAGATAATTATATTATGCATACTGGTAAACCAATTATTGCCATCTATAAAAATTATTGGTTTTTCTTTTCCGAGTCGGGTTAGCTCTTTTACCCAACCGATTTTCATAATTTTGGCCTTAAACTAAAGGTATGGACGTACCACAGATTTGCCATAAAGCATCAGCATTCATTTTGATGTATATTTTGAAAGAATTTAAATTTTATTATTTTTATTTTTCACTTCAATTAAAGTTGTATTCCAGCAGTTCTATATGTTACCCCTATATGTTTTGGTCTAAAAACCTTTAGTGAAATACCAGCTTTCATTTGAGCTATTGATTATTAAGATCGGACTACCTAAAACACACTGCTGAATCACAAATCAACAATAATTACAATCATTTTAGTACTTATCTGCAATCAATGATACGTAACTATTTTTATTCAAGTTATTTTAATATGTCTTGGTCTTAAAATACTTCATAGGCTTTCACTTGAGATATTGATAGTTTTAAACAGTTAAATTTAAGATACTGTATCGCTCAATCAGAAAATATAAATTTGATTATATCTTGGATATGGAATTTAGTTTTAAGCCGGGTTTTCCTAGGCGCGGAGTCGGCCAGCGGAGAGAGGAACGCGGAGAGCGGACTCAGCTTGTCTTAGGCAATTTAATGTTACTGTTTTCCTAGCAGCGGAGCGGAATGCCATGTTAATTTCAATTCCGCTCTCCGCGTTCCTCTCTCCGCTGGCCGACTCCGCGTCTAGGAAAACCCAGCTTTAGATGTG